TGTCCTCAACCGCCCATCTACAGTCTCCGATGCCGCCATCGACTGATTCCCTCGAATGAAAACGAATGATGACCTGGATCTTCCACCCTCCCTCCCAGAAAGTACCAGAGCCGTGAACCAACTCTCCAGCGGGAAAATACCGGGATCCGACGCAACACCGATCGAAGTTTACAAGTGCGGCGACCTCCGGCTGCTACATTACCTTAAAGCACTACTCTTGGAGCTTTGACACCGAGAGCAAGTTCCCCAAAATTTCAAGGATGCGACAATCGTACGTCTCCACAAACGGAAAGGGAGCTGGTAACTTTGTGATAACGACAAAGGTGGTCCACGGCCGCAGAACCAAAGGAACCACGCCGCTTCTCAGCTCCGACGGAACAATGTTTCTGACAGAGAAACCGCAGATTCTGAAACGCTGGGCCCGGCACTTCAGAAGTGTTCTCAACCGTCCATTTACAGTCTCCGACGCCGCCATCAATCGACTACCCTGAGCGGAAACCAACAACGAAATGGGTCTTCCGCTTTCCACCCCAGAAACAATTAGAGTCGTGCGCCAACTATCAGTTTGGAAATCACAAAGTTACGACGTGATACCAGTCGGAGTTTACAAGTATGGGGACCCCAAGTGACGGACCAGTTTCAACGACATTAACGGAGATGTGACGCCGAGGACAAGTTCCTCAGGAACCCGAGGATACGACAATCATCCATCTCTACAAGCAGAAAAGGAGCAGACAATTTCGGGATAATCACAGAGGCATTTCGCTGCGCAGTATCGACGGGAATATTATCACTGGCATCTTCCTCAACCGTCTCAACGGCCATCTCGTACAGAGACCTCTCCAGAAAAGCCAGTGTAGCTTAAGACGCCACTGCGGAGCCGCCGATATGATCTTCGCCGCCCGTCAGATGCAAGAGAAGTGCAAGAAAGCGCAGACCCACCTCTACACTGCGTTTTTGAGCCCACCGAAATCCTTCAACATGGTGGAGCGCAGTGAAATGTGGGAAATCATGCGGAAATCCGGCTGTTATAAGCGATTCCCGCACATGGTACGTCAGCTCCACGAGGGGATGACGGCGAGAGTCATGAACAGAGGGGACTGTCTCTGAAGCATTTGCAGTAACCAAATAGCGTGAGGAAGGGCTGCGTTTAAGCCTCACGTTTTCCTCCATGCTAATGGACGCCTGCTGTCATGATCACCCCGGCATCCGCATCACCTACAAAAGTGACGGACATCTTCCTAATAGCTGGTGCATGCAGGTTCTGACACGTCTCTCTACGATCTGCTTTTTGATCGCTTAACATCACCACAAATACCGACATACAATGAAGCATTAACGTTTTCACTTCCGACTGAGCTAACTCCGGACTGACCATCAAAACAGAAAAAAACTGTGATCATGCACCAACCGCCTCCTAACGTTGCATACAGTGTTTATCGCATCCACGTCAACGGCACCCAACTGAGGACAGTGGAAAACTTCACTTTTTTTAGTCAGCACACTCACGCAACATCAAACTCGACGATGAAGTGGCCCACTAGATTTCCAAAGTCAGCTGAGCCTTTGGCTGGTTGCATAAGTCCGTTTGGAATTGTCATGGCCTTCATCTTGAGGACTTTGTTGTATGGCGCAGAGACCTGGACAGTCTACAAGAAACTCAACCATTCCCACCCCCGATTTTCTTTGACGAGATGGAAGAACAGGGTCCCGGACCCAGAAGTTTCGGAACAAACTGGGATCCTCTGCATTCACGTCATGCTTAGGCAACTGTAACTACGATAGAGCGGCCACCTCGTGAGTGTGGATGATGTCGCCATGGGTACTAGCAGCCAAGGAGGTCAAACCCGCCGCTACGAGGACGCTTGGAAGAATTCCTTGAGGCGACCACATATCAATCCGAAGACTTTGAGACGATACAGCACAGGACCGACCGGCCTGGACAAGGACGCTCAAGGCATTTAGCAATTAAGTTTATTTATTTTCATTCGTCCGAGGACTTCTCTGCTGGTCTTTTGAGTCTCTGAAATATTTAAGTGTGACCAAAACGTTTTCTTTGTTGATTCCTGACCTTAGAATCCCGTTGCACGACTATCCGCCTGCCTTTAGCGTAATAAACATGAAGTTGACCTTAAGAGGATCTTCCTGTTTGACCGAACAGCATGCGTGTGCAAGCAGGTTGTTTCCGACTGAAGTTGTTTATCTGCAGTCTACGACAGCTAGTTGGGGCTTAAAGTCCACCTAATATATCTTGACCGCCTTGCTATTTCTACCAGATTGCTATGGAAAACATTTTCTGTTCATCAGAAATCGCTGCTGATGCTTTCTCCAATTATTTTGCTGTGTTACGATTGGCGGAGGTCCGAGGCTGCGGCCTCTTAATCTCTTTTTGAGTGCTGCAAGACTCCATTTGGTCATTTTGGCTTTGTGGGCCCGGCAGCCCAGGATCCTCCGAGGATCCTGCAAATCGCTGTGTTATCCCCCTTTTTTAGATTTCCAGAATGAACTGGGACACTCCAAGCATTTGTTTCTCCATAAAATTGATAATATCATTCGCATTATCATTTCTTTTTTGCTAGCTTCTAGGTTTTGTAAAATGTCGTTCAACGTCAGTGTCATCGCCCTGATTTCTCTACTAAGCCATGCATAGGTAAGTTAGCATAAAGGAGCGAATTTCAAATTCGGAGCTGCGCGTTTTGACTGACTGACTATACATATGACTTTGAGACACACGATTTTTTCCCCTTATTCTTGGAAGCCTTTTATTTAGACCATTATAAAAAACTCAGCAAGGATTAAATACCTGCGTAGGGTAAAGAAATGCTAACTGTTGTTTAACAAATCCACCAGCGTTTTAACATTCCTGCTTTACTGACAGACCTATGTATGCATTCAGTATAGCAATATTTCAAGTATTTTCTTTACTACCTGACGGCTCTCCGTGCATAACCTGTTTTTAAAAATGAGCTTTCCTCTTACTAATGCATTACGTGTGCGGATGCAGAACAATGAGCCACTGTAGACACTTCAGCAGCGTCGAATCCGCGGGCGGTATAGGTCAGCGAATGTCATCCTGCCGACGGAGGGCCACCAAAAACTGTGGTGAACTACGTCGACTTTTAAGGTATTGTGGACAGTTCTCCATAACTTTTCTTTGTCCCACGCATATACTTAACCCTTACCGAAAATTATCGAGATCCTTCGCTCGTCCTTATAAGCCCCTACTCAGCGCAACCCAGTGTCAGCGATCTGTGGGTTTCTAGAAACTGGCATCACTTCAGTTTGAAATAAGACAGTGCAACGGCCACTTTGATAATAGGGGAGGTTGAACGGCCAGTGAACTTACTTTTGTCAATTTATTTGAAGAAGCATCTGGAAGGGATGGACAGACCTGGTCCTATGCGCATCTTGAGTGAACAGTGTTGGACTTAGATTGGGAATGCCAGAAGAATCTTGGGTTCTTCGCAGTGTAAAATGAAACTGTCTCACCTTAAGTTAAGCGTGGGGGGGGTTGACTTCTGCACATGAACCCTTTTAGATGTCTTAAAGCAAGGCTCTTGTCTACTCCTAACCGCGCAGATGTCAAGTTTTGTTTTTGTTAGTGTACCCTTTTGTCTAGACTGAATAACCGGAGAGTTGGCGAGCAGAATTTGAGAAACAACTGTGGCGACGTAAAGTATGAGACCAGTCTGTATAGATTTTAACCTATGGCTCCGGGGAGGAGCACGGGCCCATACGGGTATTCAGGTTGAATTAACCCCAGGTAAGATCACAGTTCGCAGCCAGACATTATGAGTTGATACCATCGACAATAACCTTGGACTACCTGGGTTCTGACCGTCTACATGCCTCCTAATTCACATATTTTGAATTACGCGGGCTGTTCCGGTACCTCACTGGAGTAACGACGCAAACACACGACAAGAACGCGAGTTTCCCAAATGCCTTCCACAGATTCGGCTTACTGCAGCGCCGTCTGTTCTACTGATCAAACTAAAATTAACATCCTTCCCGTAGTTCGGGAGTCCTTGTGCCCGGTCGGATCTTATTTCATAGCCACACCTGCAGTTGACAAGCCCCAGCTGCCTGTCATACGGGATCGTTGGTAATCGAGGGTTTGACATTAACCCCCCAGCCCCTAACAGGTGCGGCTACGAAATAGGATCTTACCCTTTAGCCTCACGAGAGGATGATGGCGTGCATCAAGGAAAATCGGACAATCTCAGAAGCGTTCGTTGTGACCAATACAGTGAATCAGGGCTGCGTGCGCGCCCCCACTCTCTGCAGTCTCATTTGCTCTGCTATGCTGATGGGCGCCTATCATGCGGAACGTCCTGGGATCAGCATCACCTAAAGAACCGACTACCGGCCTCTCAATAAATGTCGCCACCCCGCAACTAGTGTTTGTGACCTGCCCTTCGAGGACGACAGGAGGCTCAACACCGCGACAGAAGCGGATATGCGACGGAGCATGAGCTTCTTCGCAGCCGGCTGTACCCACTCCGGGCTTATCATCAACACGAACGAAACGGAGTTTTTGTCCCAGCCGGTCACCAAAAATGACCCTCTAATCAACGCTACCCTACTCAAGACAGTAAACACACTGCCTATTTAGGCAGGATCGAATCCCCGACACTGATGTGCTGGAACGGACGGGAACCCTCAGCATCTACGCCATACTGAAGCAAATTCAGCTGCGCTGGAGCGGCCACCTGGTGCGCATGGACGACGAGAGACTACCCAAATGACTCTTCTACGGAGACGTCGCGACGGGTTCTCGCCTTCAAGGAGGCCAGATTCGCCGTTACAAGGATACCCTGAAGTCCTCCCTGAAACGCCTGCAAATCCACCCCACCCACCGGGAGGAGTTCGCAATCGATCGACCGACCTGGAGGAGGACAGTGAAGACAGGCGCTGCGATCTACGAAGCCAACCGCATCGCTGCCGCCAAAGCGAAACGTGAAGCCCGCAAATCACAACTTCGCCCAGTGCGCAACGCCGCCGCACAACCGCTTCCAACGTGTCCTCGATGTCAACGGACATTCCGGGCTCGAATCGGACTCGTTGGACATCTTCGGATTAACTGCGCCTCTCGAATGGCACCAAACATCGTCCGCCCTCCCACCTCTTCCTCCTCCTCTCCGCCGCCAACTAACTCTGACAATTCTTCTGACCCACCACTTCCATCATCATCCTCCTCCTCCTCCTTCTCCTCCTCCTCGCCCACTGCTCCAACGGCGGCCGCTCAGGCGACTTTTCCGCGCACAACAACCGACACTACCACCACCTCCCCCGACTCCAGCGATGAGGATCAGGACTACAACTGCCCTCACTGCGACCGCACCTTCACCTCACACATCGGGCTGATCGGTCACTTGCGAATCCATCGCACAGAGACTGGCGAACCAGTGCGTGAAGCACCAACCTACACCCAGCGCACTCGCCTCCACTGCCCACACTGTCCTCGCACCTTCAGGCATCGCATGGGCCTTTTCGGCCACATGCGCATCCACGAGAGCGGCCTTGACCGCACTCCCGACACACCCACCACATCCAACACATCCACCGTGCACACCCCCACCCTCGCTCCATCCGTCCGCGCCACCACCACCACCATCGCCTCCTCTGTAGCTGACACTGACACCGCCGACTTCTTATGCCCACACTGTCCACGCACAGTCACCTCACGCATCGGTCCGGTCGGTCACTTGCGAATCCATCGCACAGAGACTGGCGAACTAGTGCCTGGAGCACCCACCTATACCCACCAAGCTCGTCTCAACTGCCCACACTGCCCTCGCACCTTCAGGCATCGCATGCGTCTCTTCGGCCACATGCGCATCCACAACAACCTGCGGTAGACAACCGCCGGTCACACCACAGATTCACTCACTCCCTACCTCCTCCACCACCACCATCACCCCACCAGAAATCAACACTCACACCACATGCACCCAACCGCCATCTCCCACGCAAGTGGGAAGTCCGCATCTCGACTCGGTCCCCATGCGGCTTCGGCTGCACGGGTGACTTGAGTCCGAGACTATCCCGACACGTCAAGCGTCGTGGATAGGAAGGTTGCTGATTGACGCCCGCTCTCGGTTCACGCAGTTCGTCGCGTTGTGTGTGTGTGTGTGTGTGTTGTGTGGAGTGGCGGACTGGTGGGCTGGGGACGGGCTGAAACAGCACCTTCCACGGCACTCTCACGCATGTGAGAGAATCGCCGTTCAACCCCCGTTGTGTGAAATTCTGGTGTTGTGTGTATGGGGGGCCAGGTCGTGCCGTGGCGCGCGCAGTTATGGTCAGTCGATCATGACAGCCACCGCGCCCATTCCCCGCTCCAGTCTGCTGACCGGCTCGGACAGCGGCTGGGGTGTGGGAATGGGAAGGGAGAGTGAGGTCGACGACTCAGCGCACTTTCTCCTCACTATAAACAATCTGACGCGCTTGAAGCTATCACGGTGCGCTAAAAGCCGTGGCTTGGAAGGTTGCCAGCTGATGGAATTGTAGCTGTCCGCCCTCACGGTCGTCAGTGCCGCCGCCTACCCATATCGCCTTCGGTTCGCATAACATGTCTGACCCAGTCTCCAGCCTGCAACGCCGTGACGTCCATCGATATTTCCCTCTTGACTGATTGGTCGCAGTCGGACGGGTCCGGGCGTATGCGCTTCAGCTGATGTGCCTGGTGAGAAAGCTGGCTGTGACTGCTTGCGCCATCGCCTATACGCTCTCTGCCTCAATAAAGGCTTGATCATTTAACTGTCTTCCCTGCCTTCTAATCTGGGAGCATTGGAGTTGTCGGCCATCGTACTTCGGCAAGCCGTGACCTCTTCCTAGCACCAGACTTCATCCTTCTCAATCTACTATAAAATCTAGAGATGATGATAGATAACTTTCCGCCAGACGTACATCACAGCTTAGCACCCACTTCCAGCATTCCTCCGGCTGCCCAACTCACTCTAACGACTAATGACTGATGGAGATGAGCGGTTTCGTCAAGTTCTCTCTGTTCACACTTTCGCCTCCACCATCTCCTGTGCCTCCTCCTTCAAACTCGAAGTCGCGGACAGCGAATCTCTCACCAGATTTGACTTCTCTTCGACCGCAGACAGCCTCTGCTTCACCGGCGAGTCAACTGGCGTCATCTATCCGGCAAGATTAGTATATCCCTTCATCTCGACCCAAGCACAGCTACCACCTGTTAATATCACATCTCGTTTGGTGTCAAAGCCCTTCGCCCCAGCTCTCCGTTCCCTTTCGTGTCAAAGCAAAACCAGTGGATAAAGCTGACCAGTCCGAGGGTCAGTGAGGCCGATCTCCTTTGTTCCTCTGACTCTGGTCAGGCCTTCTACGTCTGCGACGGTGCGAATTGCAGACGTGTCCTCGTGAGCACTGGAGCCCAGATCAACGAGGTCTCTCCGACTTCGGCTGACCACCGCTGCTCCAACCTTAGTTATCACTTCCAAGTTGCCAATCGTTTCCCCATTTCCAAGTTTGGCAGCCTATCCCTTGCTCTGAACATCGGTCTCAGTCGTTTATTCTTTTCACCGTTGTGGTTGCAGATGCCCCGCATGTGATCCTCGGCTCGGACTTTCTAGCCGAGCTCGATTCGAAAAGATGACAGAGTCCTCCTTTCAGGACGGTGAATCAGGTTGTAATAGCTCCTTCCTTATGAGACCTCTGTAACACTCCTATTCAGCTTGGCTGTAAACACAAGCTGCCGGTACCACACCCAAGTCGTCACCTGTAACGGTCGAACTGCCGTATGTGGCCTTCATGAGTATGCAAGGATGCGGATGAATGATGGACGTTGATTTAATGTCATGTGTTCAGATATGACCGCATAAAACATGTGATGCGTGTAAGTGCGGGTGGATGCGAAGGTTGTTGGCTGGAACTCGCTGCATCAGTCCTCCAGTTTTGTTGCGGTGGCTTAATGGCGTACTGACCAGGCCAGTGATGCTGGTTGCTTGGCGGCAATTTAAGCAGACGTCGGGCGGATTGAATGTGTCCGCCAGCAGTGGATTTGCGGTGAAAGAAACAGCCATCAAATTGGTACAAGGGAACAGAGTGGGTCCAGGCGTCGCTGCTATCTCACCATGAGCTCCATATATTACAACCCACATGAGTGAGACTGATGGGTGCATGACGGCAGTTAGATGACGCCGCTAGATGAGCCGTTGTGGTCTACTCATTCTTGGAGGGAGTTTCATGACCGTGGCGATTAATTGCGGTGGTAATCAGGAGGACTAGAGACTGTTGGAGATAGTTGCATCCCTGTCGCTGTGGTTTTGAAGGGATAGGACAGAACAGAATGGGAACTGGGACATGCGGTCGCAATGGCGACAAGGGAGTTGGGTATGTTCAAAGGATGTGGGCGTATTATGATGTGGTCATACTGACATTTCAATGTATGCGCCGTGAAACAAGGCCAATTTGAGTCCTGGAAATGAGTTGACAATAGGGACCTATCGAGAAGTATCGGCTTGAGGTATGGTAACCTTGCGTAATTGGCGCTTTACCTTCGCCTCCTGCATTCCGCCGGCCTAGAAAAGGGGTTGATCCCGTCTCACGGCAGATCGCCGTGTCTGCAGGTTTTGGTCGAGTTATGAGTAACTAACCAAGATCTCCAAAGTGTCCCCATATTCGAATTTATTACAACCCTGAGTACGAGATCCCTTAAAGAGGTAACAGTGGAAGATCCGCTTAGACAGGTTTTTACCAGTAATCCTCACGAATGAAAGCCACCCTAGAAGTCGAATGCACCTCACTGGTGTCTATCTTCCGGATAAACTTCTTTCCAGAAAGTGGATGTCTACGAAGATTTCTTGGCACATCACTTTGAGCAAACTTTGGAAGTAGTTTAGGTGACAGTGGTCCAGCTCTTTCGTATGGATTCGATAAAATTCCTGCGTTTGCCACCGTACAAGTAGATTGTGAAGACTGCAACCTCACAGGCACATCATACATTGACCTGGTCACCCACTAACGAATCCATCGCGCGGAGACTGGCGAACCAGTGCCAAGAACACAAATATACACCCGTCGTCATCATGTCAATTCTCCGCATGACCCGCGTTCATTTAGTCCCCGAATGGGCATAATCGGTCATACCCCCTCCCCCATGCTAACCTGCAGTAATCCATCGAAGATCAAACCCCACAACGTTGACAGTTGGTCGGGGCTTGAGGCATCCTCAGGCGGAAAGATCCAAATTTCGCTACCTGTCCGCTTCAGGTATGAAATTCAGTTTAGCATTGTTATTTATATCGCTGGTCGTGGCTCTGGCTGTTTTGGTAATGATCTCCGTATTGCGAATGCTAGATAGTTTCCCATCGTTTCGATATTTATTGTTGATACCGGGTCAAATCTCTCAGTGGGCTTACAACAGCATTACGGTGATTATCAGATTTCAGAGGGTTGGGAAAAACAACCAATCCTGTTTCATGTCATTTGTCACCGAGAATTCCATCGACATCGATCCGCTGTTCGTGATGCACGTAATCAAGCCTGACTGTTTGCATGAACCTTTCCGTACACCCGATTTTCATCATTACATTCCCAAGGTTGTCTCTGTTTTATGTGTCGAATGGCCTTGTGAGATTCAAACCTCATTTTTTACATTTCCTTGTAATTTGCGTGCAAGGAAGATCATGTTGCCCATTTCACATAAGCGACTCCGTGGCTCGGAAAGACCTCCCCTTCCAGATAAGGATCCGGTCGATTAAGAATACGGGCAGACATTTTGTCAACGATACTCTTTAGGGAAGTACCTTGGTAAGTATCGTCCACTTGAGGTCGTCCTTGAGGTCACGCAGGCTTCCTCTGTTTCTCCAGGTCACCTGGAGCATAGACACGAGCTTGTTTAAAGGTTGAGATTCCCCGTATTTATGCGCTGCCGGAATAGAGTCAGATCCCCGATCTTCCGTGGTTGGGATGACTGGGTGATGGTCGGTCAGGCAGTCGAGCTGATACATCGCCTTTGTCATCAGAACACCCGGCCGGTCATGGCTCTTGATGAACACATAATTCATCAGCTGCCAGTCGGAAAGGCGGACGGTGTTAGGGACGGGATTGTGTTCTGGGTAGATTTCCAGCATAAATCCACTCCCATTGAAGGTATGAAGCCTTGATGGGCGTGCACTCCTTTCCAAGTGACGTAATCTCCGCCTAATAGAGTTCAAGTCGTCGAGAGCAACAATTTTATCGTTGCTAAGAAAGAACAAAATAAAAGCTTCGTAGAATTTGTTTTTCATAACTTGGGGAGGGGAGCGCGGGCACTGACAGTTGTCGTCAGTTTCTTCCAACGAAAGGGGATCACCACTGTTAAGAGGCAATCCCACGACTATGCCGAAGGCGACTCCACTGTCTCATCCTTTTCTCTTTGGGCAGTCACCATAAAAGAAAAAGTATCCCGATTACCTTTGTCGAAGAACCGAATCTCTCTGGGGGCGGTAACGTCCACCTAATACCCACCTACACCATGAGCACACAGGTCAATAACGGCTGACCGGTTGGCCTATGGTTTTTGGTTGGTTGGAACCTGAATGTAAGACGGGAGTGGAAGAAGCACTAATTTCATCAGACTCCATTATCGCCATGTCGTAGTGCCGTAATCTGGCTTCGAGACATTTTGTAGGACGGGCGGTGCGTTGCACACTAGCACTTTGCGCTCTCATAGCACTGGCGCTGCTGGTATGCAACTGTCTGACTTAGGAACTTGCCAAGTGCTCAGGTAGCATAAGCTGAGGGTCACCCCGCTCTGCATTGCCGAGTACGTAGGTTAACCCGCAGTTTGAATGGCGGGTAGGTTCGTAGTGAAAATATTACCTGCAGAAATCTACCCGCATAGCTCAAACTGGCGAATGCACTGTCTCGCTTGATGTCCTTCAGGCAAAAATGGTCAAACACCAGTTTCCGCTCATCTGCCAGGCGTACAGCCCAATATTCATAACCGCACGGTAGAATTCACCGGACGGATGCCGGGTAAACGCAGATCTCCGAAGTGCTTGCCGTATGTCCACGGGGTCTACAGGCATTTTCTAGGAATGGCGAAAATCCTAAGAGTAATGTCGATTCGAGAGGCGATACTGTTCGTACACTATCCATTTGGCAGCATCCTCACCAGTGGTACTCGAAGCTATTTAATTCCTATGTGTGCCCTCTGGTTAAAAATACACTCCCAAAACACTCTTCTTGGAAGCGTTTGCCGACTGACAAACTGATATAGCGACCTCATTCGTCCGTGACACCAGGTCCTGCAAATGTCATATTTTGAAGCCAGCAGGGCGATATGACCGGCATAGTTTAAGTTAACGAACCGTCACACGAGTAAAAATTAAGTCTCCTCAAAGTTGTATGAAAGCCTCTAGAGAAATCAGCCGATCGCGTAGTCAAACAGTATCGGAGAGAGAATGTGACATTTTCGTGCACCAGATTGAGTGTCGAACATTTAGAAGATAGTTCTATAGCGCCGGTGGAGCGACATCACGTACTGACCACAGAAAGTACTTCTGCCAGCATGCCGTGTAGTTCCATTACGCACCACAAGGGGTCGCGGTTAGCAGAATCGAACGCCGAGTCGAACTCAACAGAGCAGACGGTCGTCGGTCGATGACGGCCACAGTGGAATTTAAAAATGCGTCCCAGTGTGAATAGTTGATCGGCGCACCCAAATCCAGCTCCCAACACGGCTTGATGAGGTCTCACCCTTGGATCGCTCACACTCTCAAATCGCCTTAGAATGACGGTAGCAAAGACCTTTCGAACAACGTCGATTGGGCTTATGCTCTCTGTCTTATCTCCCCTCATAAAAACAGCCAAAAGAATGCTCCTGCCTCGGTAGTCAGGAACAAGCTCATTTTCCTACGATCGTTCAATCACCTCATGGAGCCAGACTTGTAATCTTCGACGATGATGTCTTCCCAGCCCGTCTTGTTGGGCAGACTGCGTTATATGAGAAGGGGTCCACACGACGATGCATGGGCCACAAGTGAGTAAAACTAAGCTGCTGACGATGGGTTGGTTATCGCGGTTGCGCTGTTCGAGCTCTTCACGCCAGCTCCCGACCGCGGCCAATTTGTCGGCATTAAAACTCACTCACGTTGCGAGCAGAATCACGCAGTGCAGAACGCCTAGCACGAACATGGCGAATAAATTAGTAGTCCCCAAGTGCTACCGGGGTTCGAGTTCTGCCCGATAGTTTCCGTAGTCAACTCTGACGGCTGACTTTGCCGTCATTTCCCGGAGTTGACGAGTGGACCCTCGTTGCTCGAGTTGTCTGGCTAACCAACTGCAGGGCCACCATCGTACTAACGGCTTCGATGATGACTATTTACTGCTGACTTCTTCGACTCGGATAGCAAAACGAAACCCAATTTCTGCGTGAAGGACAGCATGCTCTGGCCCATTGTCGTTGCCAGTTTCGGCACCAGGCCTTGATTTGCTATCGTAGGCCCGCCTATGAAACCTTGGGTTAGAATTTAATCAGCCTGACTGGCCGTGTGATTACTATTCGAAGACCAGGTTGGGAGATATTTGCGACGGTTTATAAATATGCTGGTATCAGCGGGTCCTGGCAGGAGGATATCAACAGCCGTCCCAGTTTACCTCATTGATGGACAGGTCAGGAGCGTCCAATAAGATGGTTGCTTGAAGAATCACCTAAGACCGACTGCTGTAGTTGCTGACATGAATCAATAGATCACAGGATGGGAGTCCCTAGCTAGTTTTTTTACAGGTGAGGTCTCGTTGTCGCTTTAGTCGGCAGCTGGTTCTAGCGTATGTAAAAACACGACAGTTGTGTCAGTAAGGTTTGCCGGCAACTGGTTAGCCCACACGTAGGCAGTGTACGGTTCGTTTATTGAGGGAGGATAGTTGTCACACCATGTCACTACTCGCCCTGCGCCAGGCGTTGCGGAGCGTGTCCGTCCCCGCCGATTCGGTATTATAGATCGAAGTGGCATTCTCTGAAATTGCAGATGTCAAAATTCGTAGGAATTTAAAGTACTGACGGGTCCCCAACAGCCATTAGGATGGTTTCTTTGAGGTTGACTCCTCTAGTGTCTTGGCTCACGAGCCCCGAAAGCCAGCAGTGGCAGGCAACCTCAAAACCGGCACACGGTCGCAGATCAAAGCGCCATCATCTATCTACACTGTATCTAACAATGTTGTCGGTGGTTTTCAAAAGCTCAATACTCCCCCACCTTGGCATCACTGTCACTACCAGTCTGCGACTGCTTACTCGTCAGACCCGAGGGCCTGCTTACTTCGCCGTCAAGGTGGTTTTGCCCGCCATGCATAGTTGCGTAAAGAAGGTTAGTGCCAAACAACCTGTCCAGGTAGATCATAAAACCGGTTACTGTAGACAATGTTGAGAGCTATGACGCTGACAACTACACTATATTCGAGCACTGATTTCGACACCTTGGAGGATTTCTCAGGATTACTGCTCAACCATGCGTGAGGGCATATCCCCTCAAATCTACGAGGTGCAGTGTAACGTTAGCGTCTCTGAACGTCGCCGACGTAACGCACATACTCGGGAACAAGGCAACAGAAGGGTTATAAACTTTACGCCTGACGCCACGACCCAGTCAACAAAGTACGACAACAAACCCGCGTCAAATGAAGGAGGTCAAGTGATTTTTGTGCTTACAGTCAAAAAGAACAATGAGATGAAATACGAGGAAAACCGCAGGGCAGATCTCGCCGACATTACTGCATAGTTTGTGTTATCGTCAGTTACAGTGGGACAGCAAAGTATTTAATGATCCTGAAAACATGGAAATATTCTTCGGCTGCATGCTCAACCATGCGGACGACCACGTGACCACAGGCTGTCCGCTTAGGGAAGTTATGTCAGAGACATGTCGAACTGAGTTGAAGAGATCGCCGCCCAGAACAATGCTACCAACAGGACCTTCGCCAGCTTTCTACAACCATTATAAACAAATAGTGAGATTAGGACGACGGAAAAAGTTACGTTTTCCGGGCACCACCGCGTCGGACTCCGTCCTTTCCGAGTCCTCGTGGTGAGTAATGGCACTAGATGATTTACCACCAAAAATCATCGGTTTGATCAAGGCCTCTTATCGCCCCACTACTGCGCGAAACCTGGTCCATAACAAACTTTCCCATGTTCGGTTCAGCGTTCGACAAGGTTGTATCTTGTCGTCCATTCTCTTCAACTACGCTATTGACTGGATTCTCAAGAGTCCCCTATACGAATATGATGGTGTTGAGTTTGTGCCCGGACACCGGCTGACTGATCACGACCATGCCGATGGTATCGCCTTGCTAGCCTTAAGTTTTGGTGATCTGTAGTCTGTGGTGTCACAGGTGAGCGAGGTGGCTGAATCGGACGGTTTAGCCATGAACGCTGGTAAGACCAGTGTTTTAAAGCTGCATCCCTGACCTGAAGGTACCTCTTGGGATTGGTGGCTGTAAACTTGGAGCAGACAGTTTCAAGTACCTCGGAGCGAGGCCGATGCCGAATGGACGGAGTAAGGACCACACTGTCTCCCCAATCGATGCTGCCAACCGGATTTTCTCAGGCCCTCAAAAATGCCTGTAGGTCCGACACATCTCCAGCGCAACTAAGATGCACGTGTAAAATATATCCGTCCGGTCTGTCCTTCCCTAGGATTGTGAATGCTGGGCTATGCGCGTGGCGGACGAGCGAAAACGGGAGGTATTTGACCATCACTGCTTGAGGACCATACTCCGAGTTAAGTACACCGACCTCGTCTCAAAAGAGACGGTCAGCACTCGCTGCGACACCGCAGGGATAACCCAGACCATCCTAGAAAGGAGACTGAGGTGGTTTGGGAGTGTTCTTCGTCGTCCACCTCAGAAGCTGCGTTACTGCCCTCGATCCGGCGCCGGGAGGCGTCGAAGAGGGGAGTCAACTCAAAACCTGGCCCGACACAGTTCGCCAGGATATGGATGTGGTTCTTGAACCTTCGACATTCAGTCCCCGTCAGTGGAGAAGAGAATGGGTTGAATTGTCCGGATCTACTTCCGCAGATCGTCACGTGCAGAGGTACAGTTCGGGACATCGTCGAGGCCGTCTAAATCAGGCATGATCGCAGCCGCACCAAGTACAAGTAAGCACTGTCGAGTCAGTCGTGTGTAATTCCTAATACTCAACTGCGGCAAACCGCTGAGGACGGAGTTTCGATCGCTACTGTTAGAGGTCCAGCTTTCGAGTTAAGAACTTATCTCAAATGAGAAAATCCGCCCGTCGTGAAGGCAGCCAAAGTGGCTCGGGACCACACTCAGCACCTGCTTCAGCAGCCCTATGCTGATGTTTTGCATCCAATTCCTGCCTTTGGCAGTCGCTCCCAATGAGGAATGGGTATATCTTGCATGTCCTGTTATGACACATTATCATGTGGAGCACAGTATAGGATGTCTAATTAACTAAGGGTAACGATCACGCCGACGAAACCTCAGATATGGAGGTCCTTCTGTTGTCAGTCGACATTCCTGATTTCCGGTAGACATTACACATGGCGCTGGAAAGAGCCGACTACTGGATGGCAGACGTAAATGGTAAAATAATTCAAAAGATAACGAAGAACCCAACGAGCTTATGAAAAGGCAAAATTGCACATTTGCAAGTCGGCTCACCCATGGTCACCTAGCATCAAGGAGTTGAACTCAAGGGTATGTAAAATTGATAAATATTAGATAATGAGCATAGCAATTTAACAATATGTGACATATGTACAGGCATGAAAACAATTTTACTGTTCGGAAGTTGAATCTGGCACCGATACAGTGACGTCCGAGTTATCCACAATAGAGAGAAGTGGGGATGTTTCAACTGGAACCCTACTGATGGTTTCCACCGTCGGCACAGTACTCGAAATTGCTTCGAAATGAAGACTATCCGGAGTTGTAGTAGACGGTTCGGGGGTAGGAAAATGCACGGACGACCTGGGGGAAACGAGGGCTGTGTAACTAGGTGTTTGAGGGCAGTAGTTGACGGGAGGTGGGCCTCGGGGGGCCGAGCCATCCGACGAAGGGGAATCTCGCCACATCTGGTTTTCACTACGGCAATCGTTGCGGATGGATGACGGTGTGGCGCCATAAGACTTGGAGCATAAAATTATATGCCTTTGGAAGGCTTCGTTGGCACGAGGAACTTTAATTTTGTCAAAGTAGGAAAAGCCGACGTCCAGCAACAAAGGTTCCAGGTTTGATGGGTCGATAGTCATGCCTTTATAGTTCTCCTGTTGCACAGCCTAGAGAAATGCTAGGGTAAAAATCAAACTTACTGTAAAGCGAGTTTTCTTATACGATGATTTTGGCTGTGGTTCGAGCAGGAGGTGTCCGCCTGGTCTCAGTAAGTTAAACACTCGCCGGAAGAAACGCATCAGGCCAGCATCACCGTAATTTAGATGGATCCACTTAGTTACGCTGAAAGCAAGGATCGTGTTGTACGTGGGCTCATCCTCGAATGACGAGCATTCGCTCCAGTTGGCAACCTGGAAGTTGATTTTGTCATACTTTGTGTTAGCCTGAGCTCCCCATCTGATCCTTTCCCGCTGCATACTTTTGGCATTTTCAATCAGTTCTGGGTCGCAATCAAAGGCGTCAATCTTGTGTATATCAGGGAATTTTTCGAGGATACGGAATGTAAGGGTTCCGTTATGACAACCGTAATCAGCTATATCGCCATTAGAAAACCACTCAGGCATGAGAAACTTTATGCGATCCTCCGGATCTCGACGGGAGTAATAATCGGGATAGTTACCACTTACAGGCAATCGCCTGTTTTGCCAGCGGCCGCGGCGAAAATGTCGCGGATGACCTCGTCCTCTGCAAGATAGGTTCTTGCCTCTAGTTCGTTCAATAACCATTTGGGTAAGGCTTGCGGTCAGAGCAGCGCCAACAGCTGGGCTAGCGTTGCTTAGTTCACCGCTGATACTCAGGGCAGGTGTGCTATAGCGAGAATCACCACGAAGGGGTGAAAGGCCCTCAGTTCTCCGGCGGTCAGTTTCGTTCATCAAATCCTGCAGATTAAGAGGATCATTTGGATTCAGTGTCTGCTTCGGAGGAGTTTTGAAGCTTCTTCTTCGTTTTTTAGAGCGTAAGTACGGGAATCGAACGAATCCGGAACGAATCTTGTGCAGTTGGCTGTTCACAGGACGACGAAGCTTTTGTCCTGTGGGCTGGAACGGTAGACTCGAAAAACCAGGGCTTTCAAAAAACTGGCCAGACGGAAAGGGTAATCCAGTTGGTCGGTAGTGAAGACGCCAGTCTGGTAGAGGTCTGCCGTCAGGTGGCGCACAGTTGCGCCACCGCAAACTCGATAAGACCCTCGGTGAGAATGACTGGTGTGGTGACTTGAACGCCGTTTCTAAAAAATGAACAGTATACTACTCATCAGTCAGGCAGAGCAAAAGCTTCACAAAAAGTGCTGCCCTAGGCAGGCGCAAATAATGCCAAAAATTATTTAACATATTCTTACGGTTATAGCCCGCTCGAAAAGTGACCCTCACTCTGCCTCTTTCCATAATTCGTGCGCCAGCAGTACGGAGGAAGCGGCGACAGACATGGTAAACCACGAAATCAAGGATCGCGCCAAATAGTTGTTTATATGGGTCGTTCGCGAATATGAGATTTAAGTTTACTCTAATAACTGCCAGAAACTCCAACGTTTGTGTGCAAAATATTTGCTGCTTCTTTTGGTTTATAGAATAGACTTGCAAGTTATCTAAGATATTTAAAATGGAAATGACGGTTCTTCAGTCTGTTGTCCGTACTTGGCACGTTCAAAGTTGACAAAGCGGGAGCAGCCACTGGAAAGATGAGATGACAAGTGCAAGAGTAAATTTAATGAGAGGTATTTGGAATAAGTGAATCAGCCAAGAACTTAAGTGCTTTGAAATGACCCCATACCAGCTTCGGGAAATTACCCAGTGTTCTTGATGTTGCGCTGGGCGAAAGCCTTAACCAGATATTCTCAAAATATATAAGGTCGCTCAAGCATTCTGTTGCTGGGCCATTTTGGGTTTTGTTGCGAAAAAGCTTTGTATGTTACACCTCATCCGACCAGGTTAAAGCAAAGCACGAATAATAAAAGAGGCCGTACATATCGCGTCGAAATGCCGGTGAGGACATTTATTCTATATTAAGCTAGGTGTACCACATCTCGGGGTTGAGTATGAGTGGCTGATGATGAGTAATGGCCCAAAAATGGCCATTCTGGTTTCCCTTGTTTTTGTCGGTAACATCCCATTTACATATATATGCACTGCTAATGGAAGCGAAGATGCGCGTCCCCGGACGTAAAAAAAAGAAGAAAAGGCGATCTCGGGAACCAGTTTTACGGTCCTGAGATTTCAAAAGCAAACAAGCTCCAGTCGTCGGAGGCGACTGCAGTATCGCGTCTCACAGCCTTTATAGGTGAGTGGCAGTCATTTTAAGACAGGATTTTACGTATGCAGTCAGGGTGATAGGGAGGAAGGGATGGGACGGGAGTCCTAGAGCGTCTTGTCACCGGATGAGGGGATGGTGTATCAGCATCTGTGGTCACCGTTCGCATGCACAGAATGACCGTGGTCGATGGTGACAGGGAGAGCGACGGAATGTACTCATTCTACATTGGGGGCCGTCGTTGAGACGTTGGCGATCGTCGTTCGTACCCTCATTGACCTAAGCTGTCGTCTAAGACTGACAATCTTGTTTACGCTGCAACGACCGTCTTCTCGTCTGCCTGAATAGTAGATTGTACGGCTGTAGTGAAGACTGCACCTTCGGCGGACCCGGGTTGATAGGCGACTGAGTGTGTATTCGCCATGCACTCGCTCACGCTTGAATTCATGGTTAGATTGGGTTAGTGTTTGCTCATTCGACTACTGAGCTGCGCCCGTTGGGCTTGGTAGGTCGCAAGAGGAGCCGGACAACGGTTGATGGAGGTTGTCCCCCTGTGTGGATAATATCGCGCAAAGCTGAAAAACCCCCTCCCCCACTACTCCGGCGACAAGACGCTCTAGGACTCCCGCCCGTCCCTTCCACCCTGCCACCCTGACTGCATACGTAAAAACTCGTCTTAAAATGACTGTCACCTACCTATAAATACTGTGGGAAGCTTCGTCAAACTCAACGCCGACGATAAAAACTTGCTTGCTTTTGAAACGTTCTTACGGAACTCACTCGTTTCGTACGAACGATCGGTGAGCGCACTCTACCATTGTATATTCTTGATCGAAAACCGACATGGAAACGGGCTCGTGGCTCAGTGGTTAGAGGCGAGTTCGAGCCTCGGGTGTGTCACAATTCGGGGTTGGGTATGACTGGCTGACGACGGCTAATAAGTCAGAAATGGCCATGCCAGTCTCCCTTGTCTTTGCCGGTAGTAACATTCTGCCTACATCGTGCGCCGCTGTGTGGGACTTCGGTTTTGTGGACTTTAGGCAATCCATTCATCTTCGCGATGGTCGGCTCAGTTTGTTTGAGCGATTTAGCGATGTCTTCTGACAGTTGCTTCTTTCCTGTGAGACGCTTCAATACTTTGTCGATGGATGAAGCTTGCGCTTTGGTGGGGTCTGTGGGGAGTGGTTGGTAAGTAGATCTGTCGTCTAATAATGACAGCATTTTCTCTTTGTAGTCCGTCTTGTTCAAAATGGCAGTAGAGCCTCCTTTGTCAGCGGGAAGAATGATACTATCCTGGTACTATCCTGGGCAGATTTTCACCGGTAACGATGACAATGAGGATTATCCTATGTAAAATTTCATTAGAAGAGGTAGTTGGCAACCGTGCCCACATTACCCACAATCGTACCTACTGGCTTGATTTCAGTAGCTATGATTACGTTCTCATTATGCTTCTAAATTTGCATGCGTGCTGTATTACTTCTACCAGATTCATTGTGGAGGTACTAACCTGAGCTCCGGTAACGATGACAATGAGGCTTTCCCTACATCATTTTTCATAAGAAGAGGTAGCTCTTGACTGCCTCATTCATTGTAGGGGTACTATCTTGGGTGGATTGGCACCGGTAACGATGCCAATGAGGCTTACCCTTTATCAACTTTCATTAGCAGAGGTAGCTTTCGACTGCCTCATTATTTGCGAATTTTCTATTACGCCCAAACCAGTTTTTCGCATAAAAGTCTTACCCGGCTTGCGTTGTGGCGTTCCGCGTGCCGCTGCTTGACTCTCGTGTCCTTCTGTTCATTATATTGGATACAGTTCTATCGCTTACACTGCGGAATGACCTTCGGACCAGTTGCCTTCTTCCCATTGGTTGTTCGCCTTCACTTGCTTTTCTTTCCAATCTGAGGCTAGGATGCATTTATTCCACACACCGTTCATAGTCTCCTTGCTTATTTCCATACCTTCCTTGTATTTTTCACCTAATCTAAATTAGGCTTTCACTTTCCCATGAACGTCATTTCCTAGCATATACTACAATCGCCAATTACCCGTTCACTCAATTGTCCCACCCGTATAGCCCCTATTACCACCGGTCCCGATTGACGGAGAGCTTTGAGTTTGCGGTGTCAGGACGGCTACCAACTATCATCTAACCCATTTCACACTGCTCTTTTGACCGCGGAACAAACGTGGCCAACAAGCCTGGCAGGCAAACCGGCGGCAAATTTTACGTCAGCACCACTGACTACGGTAGACTTTTCTTATAAGAAAAGTCTAGCGTAGTCAATGGCGCTAATCTGGACACCAGTGGAGACTATAGTCTCCACTGGTGTCCAGATTAGCGCCATTTCCACTAGCTTACTGATGAGTGCTACCACAATTGTGGCCTCTCCTTGTGGACAGCAAACGCTTCGACAAACACCACATTTGGACTCCTCCGCCTATCCCTGAATGTTGGCATTAGGTGTCACCCCTAGAAATAGCCGACGTTTTAACGTCCTTCCTTGCCACTTTTGACCTTCTGGTTGAGTTCCGCAAATCTGCACGCATGCATGACAGGATGACGAATGTATCCGTCCCAGTCTTTTGTCTGTCATCGGCCTACAATTACGTTTCCGTTCTACCTCACCATCTTTATTTCCCTGCTGCCCGACGTCCCAATCCCGTTATGCTTCCCTTCTTTGATTCTTTTTTTCCATGAGTTCGTTTGTCATGTAATTTTTTTCATTTTCTAATTGTCTCGCGCCCTCGTCGCGGCAGTCCCACACCTATTTGCTGCATTAAAAGCGAATTTTTGTCTCATGTTGCAGCCGGATTTCATTGGACAACTTACCAGTCCTTTTGCATCCACACGGCACATCCGTTCCAATCAGTGGATATGGAACTGACCTTCATTGTCATGGTTGCACTGCCTTGAGCAGTATCACTACCCTCTGGTCTGCACCACATGTCTAATCCAGAGGGTTTTGCCAAACTAATGTTAGGAAAGACCGTTCTCTCAAAGGCATACGCGATCTAGGCGTTTTGCCGAATTTCAGTCACTCTCCAGGAAACACCAGGGATTTGTATTACGATTTCTTTCCACATATCGGACTGTTCATGTCTTGCCTTTAATTTATTACCTCTCAGTCATTTTAACGTTTCACTAACAGCCTTATAGCCGTCTAGTTCTTTTCTCCCTTTAAACTTCTTATTTATTATTGGCTAATCGTAATGGAGGCGATATCCACCAGCACCCAACTCTCTAGTATGATGTCTCTCGGACATCTGGCATGGCCCCTGGTCTTACTAAATATGCTTCCATGCTGACGAGTCGGATTCCCAAATGCTTTTTTACTTGACTCCAGGATTGCATGTGTCCCTAATGCCCCTTCACACATCTTCAAGCGCTAACAGCAACTCATTTAATGATGTCTCTATTTTTGTCGCATATTCCTACCTCAACACGCGTCTACCATTCTTTGCTGAATAAAGTCCTGTCAGATGCCAAGCGCTTCTATAAATTCTCACTCTCGGCCCACGCCCATTCTGAGCAGTTTAGAGTTCCGATGGCTGATGTCACCTGCAATGGTGGCGCTGCCTAGCGAACGTGTCTTCATTCCTGCTGTCACTGTCACCCGTGCTCCCGCACGGCAGAAGTGACCTATATGAGGGTTGTTCGTTACTCGCCGTATTGCATACTTTGGACCAAAAGAATGCAACACCTGGCGAGGAGACTTCAACTAGATGAGTGCGAATTCGCCCGGTCTCGACTGGGGCTCAATATTTACCGGCAATGCCAGCAAAGAGTGGGAGTTACTCAGGAGTGTCCTTCTGTGTCCTTCTCTGTGTGGGAGAGGACAAGACTCCTGGGTGAAAAGGTAAAAACGTGAAGAAAGAAATCAACAGAAAGCATAGATTTTGGAGAAAATACTACACCACTGGGCAAGTCGAATATTTCAACAATTGCAAAAGACAGCGAAACGACCTAAGAAGAAGGATTATTAAAGTGCTCTGGAAAATAAAGAGGAATTTGTTGCAAAGTGTGACGCTGAGTCCGAAATCGCTCTACTGCCGCCCTGGAAAAACGACGAGAGACAGACATCAGATTTCTTTAATAAGAACCAACAATGGCGCTGAAACTGATGAAGGCAA